TGTGGCGGAATTTGGTGCTCAACCCAAAGAAACTCCTCAACATCACCGTGATCCTGTAAGTTCACAAATTGCAGATGTCAGGGACCTAACTGGACCGCAGGACAATATGTTCAGTGGACTAGTTATAGTGGAACCTGAAAAAAATGTTCCTGTTGAACGATCCAAAACATGTGTTGTTAAAGGTGTGGTGGAATTTGGTACTGAATCCAAAGAAACTCTGCAACATCACCGTGATCCTGGAAGTTTACAAATTGCAGATGTCAAGGACCTAACTGGACCACTGGTCAACATGTTCAGTGGACAAGTTTCAGTGGAACCCAAAAGAAATGTTCCTGTTGAACGATCCAAAACATATGTTGCACATGGAATTTTATTGGATGACCAGAAAACAGTTGAAACTGGGATTCATTTTGACCATATGGTGACATTCCAATTGGTTGAACAAAGCTTATCAGGTCATGAGGATAGCCATGGCAAATCCCATACTGCACCAACAGTTGCATGCAGAAGATCTAAGACCAAGGATCAGATTGTAAGCTGTTGGGGGACCATCCCTTATAATTCTAAATTAGATTCCTCACTGCCACAAAACGAAACTAAGAATTATCTAGCAGAAGAACCGGAAGAACACAAAATCAAGAAGATTGGTTTGAAGGGACACTCCACTCCTGAAGTTATGACGGCAATTTTGGTTGCATCTGAGATGGTTGCTTGCAAATTTCTTCTCACAGAGGAAGGCATATGCCACATTGTCAATGACTATGAGAAGAATGGACTCGGTGCAGTTACAGTAACCCCTATTTGTGTTTCCACCATGGAAATTGGTACTTGCATAGACTGCAATCACAGTGTTACCATGTCTAATGATGCCTCCTGTCATCTTCAAAGTGTTCCTGAAGTTAATTTCCATGGACCTGCAACATACTCTATTGAAACGAGCAATGGCATGCGTACATATGAAGAGAATGGTAAGTACTAATTGGCCAAAAGAGATCTGATTTCTTCATCAGAGATCTGTAGAGTTGACGTAGACCTTTCTGATGTTCTTTTTGGCATCATCCTCATTGTCTCTTCCTTATTTTCAACAGAAAATGAAAGAAAACTACTTTTCTTGTAGGAAATGCCCCAGGATTTTTATCCGGAAAAGACTTTTCTAAATTGGATGGAAGTGTCAGAAGTATCCTACAGGATGTACCTGGTATAGACACTCCTCAGGGAAATTCAATCAGATATGGTGATTGTAGTCTGGACTTCTGACTTTGCTTTTCTTTTTGTGTATCCAATTTATCATTTATGTTTAATGACAACAATAGTAATAGTTCAGTGGAATATATTAGGAATGATGCTGGATGCCCTTCCAGTAGAGGATGAGGATGCTGTCTGCATGAGAAGTCAAAATCTTGAACCTGTTGAAGTTGATAACATGGATTTAGATGACCTATCTTTAGCAAATTCTTTCTGCTTCAGGTTAACTTTATCGTCCAGCAACAGGTGCCAGCTTGTGAGTATTTCTCATTACATCTTTATCAGGCTTCATATTTGTATAGACTCTTTGATGTTTGCTTTGAGTTGTACATGATATTTACTGTAAATTTGAGCAGCAATTTAGATGAGTATTAGTTTTTCCATCAGACTAGATCAGCTCAATTTTAGTATACCTTATGCTGATTTAAATACCGTAGCCTAACATTAATAAATGAAAATAAAGGTCAGGTTTTAGTGCCACCATTGGTGGAGTAAATTAGAAATACAAACTAAAAGTTAAATCATTCAATAAATAATGGCATTATTGAGCATGTTTAGAATTAGCCACTATAGACAACTTCTTACATCTTTTGTTGCTTAATCATGCAGTTACTAATGATGGTAGTATCTCACCCAATCATATTTTATCATGCTTGATGTCAAATTTTGGTATTGCTTTGGATGTTTTCTATATTTTAGTGTAATTCTTCTTTCATGCAATTTTGGACACACGACCTGAACAGTGATTATCTTGTTGTCCTTGTTTGCACTGTTGGATTTCATCTGCCTTCTATGTCACCCATGAAAAACATGGGCTCTTTAAGACCCATATCATGGCAACAGAGACATGACCTGGATTCTGTGATTTTGAAAACATGCTTTAATTTGATACTGTATCTGTCAAATTGGTGTGAATTCATTTCATGAAATGAGTGAGTTTACCAGTTTTGAGTGATGAACCTTAATAATCAAAATCTAATATTGCCATTTTCTAGAGCTTGCCTGTGAAATCAACTACTATTTACTATGAAACATCCTTTATTTACTTCATATGAGATCTCAATTTTCTTTATGCATCTTGCCATAAAAAATGATAATTATACAATTGGGTGAGCTTTTTAAAATTCTAAAACAGCTGACGGTCTCTTTCTACCATTAGAATCTTCTGGTCATACTTGTTAGTGGGAAAAAAAGATCACGAGTTAATTAAAAAATTAATAAAATTTACATGGTGTAATCAATTCTAGATGAGCCATGGCTTCACTGGGAATTATTATTTTGTTGTTTGGTAACTAGGGTTCTAGTCATGGAATGTCTACTTGCCTGTGTCAGCCATTTATTGTGCTACAGATGTTAGGATGACCCTTTTATGGCTGAGTTGTTAGGACTCCGATATTCTACAGTTGCACCGTTCTTGGTTGGTGTCTTATCTGTTACCTAAACTTCTCTCTGTTAGTCTTTTTATGAAACCTTAGTCTTATCTATCCTCTTGCAATTGAGATAACGGTTTTTTTGGTTGGGCTAGCAAGCTTTTTTGCATTTTATTTTCCCCTCCAGAATCTAATATTATGGATTGATCAATAAGCTTGCAGGCACGGAATTAGTAAAACAGGAAAAATGACATAATAATGATAAGCAGAATCAATATGAGGATTGATGAATGTTTTGAAGGCAAAATTTGGCCTAAAGAGGACCGAAGACATAATATGCCCTTGTGTTTAATGCATGAGATCCTGTTGTGAGTGTTAGTCTTTAAATAATTGAACATAATATGCCCTTCTGTTTCTCATCTTGTACATATGCTTGCAGGCGTTGCCACTCGGTATTCCATTTCACATGAGACAAGAACGGAAAGACATAATTCTCCGGGATCCATCTGGCAGATCATGGCCGGTCTTGTACCATGAGAGCAACCAGTTTATAGGATTTTTAAATGGGTGGGAGGAATTTGCAACAGCAAACAATCTTCAGCAGGGAAATCTGTGTGAGTTCTTTGTGGTAACTGGTGCGCCTGATCCTACATTCCAAGTGCAGATAAGGCATACATGATCCCATACGTGTCCTGAACATATGATGTCTATACATGCATTTTGGTCATAGTATATATTATCCGTTTGTTCTCTACTTGAGTATTATGTACATAGGTTTGACCACCCGGCACAAGATGCTGAATTACCAAGTAAATATATGTTTATGCTTTGATATTTTCATCTGCCAGAATCCTGCAACTAATGGAATGAAGATCTTTGTATTTGTCGTCAAATTTTTTTTTGAAAATATTTTGAATGAGCATTATGGACAAAGTGAATCCATTAAACTCAAGTTTATGGAGAATCATCCCAAAGTTGTTTTATGGGAATATGCTCGAGTTTGCTTTTGGTGCGTCTCATTTAGTGGCACATTGAAGGTGCAGAGGATGCAAGTCTTTGTAGATTAAGTTAAGACGAACATACTACACTACCACTGAAGAAAAATTTATCGGTGGATCATGGATTCCTAGATGATGGATACAAATGTGATTGTCATGATGGACTTGAATGGAGAGAGAGAGAGAGAGAGAGAGAGAGAGAGAGAGAGAGAGAGCAGCAGCAGTAAGGTGGTGAAATGGTTGCGGGAGATGGTGACATGGGGTCCTACTTTGCGAGGTTGTGTGGCAGTCGTCGGGGGAATTGGTGTGTCACTGTTGGAGATCAATTGTGATGCTTTGTATTGCTACATACATTCCTATGGAATGAATCGAGGCAATTAGCCTTTTCTTGCGGAAAACAAGAGATGATGTTGGAGTTGCAACAAATGAGATGAAGGAAACTTATTATACCTAGATGTGTTTGTGTTATATGGATATGGTGTTAGATGTTGGAGTTGCAACATGGAACAATCACTGCTGTTTGGATTCGTTTCCTCTCCCTTCAAGCTAGTGATCTAAGCAACTTTTGTAGCGTCACATTCACTTGCGTGGTCTTCGACCGGTTTATACTAAACGATTAACCAATCCGTGTCATCTAATTTCACCAAAAAATAGTAATAATAAAATAAAAATACTGAACATACATCGAGTCATTGAGTCAAAAGTTGGAATGACATAATATTATGAGCAAATTGTCAACTATGTAGACTTGCAGATAATTCCTTGCGCATGCTTCATAATTTTTACTGAGCGTGACATTGGATCTATGATTTCTAGGTTTGAAAAACAGAAATATATATATTTTTAACATATCCAAAGGATAATATTTCTATTGAAGGCAGTGTTTCTTCAAAAACTTCAAGAATCAATACGTTATAAATTTGCACATCAGTAAAATCCAAGAACTTGATGTTGTTTCAATGATCATGATTGTACATGTCTGTGTGTGTGATTTCAAGGCCAAAATTGGAGTACCTCCACCGGAAAGGCCACCAACCATCCTAGCAACTATTGGCCATGTAATATACAAAGATTGGATTCATTCATCATTCTAGGTGAGAATGAATATAAAGAGTCCTTACACTTTATCCTCATTGTGTCTTTCTTTATATGGATTAAATCAAGATATAAAGCATGGCTGACTTCCATGTCACAGATAAAGATGTATTAAAAGGTAATTTACAGTTTCCAAAACATGACTATATATAAAAACAATGAGCATGATGTCCCAAGGAATACATGACAATGTTTACAAGAAACAAGGTTTTGAATTTGGGCTAGACTCGTGCTGCTGGTATGGTATATTGATATATGATACGTCGTAATAGCGATGGAGGAGGAAGAAAAGAAAGACATAACATATCATAATAATAGCGATGGAGGAGGAAGAAAAGAAAGATGAAAGCATGATGTAGTAAAATAGACAACAAACAGCAGACGACAAGCACATGAGCGACGGAAGTGAGGAGAAGATGTTTGTGAGGAGTCGCATGTCGCAACTCCCCGTGGGCTCTGATGCATCGACTTTTTGTGATTTAAAAAAGAAATTTCAAAATGATTTGAATTGAACAACTAGTTGAATTGGTAAATACCGATTGAATCATACTATGCTCCATGAAATTATAAACAAATAAATTTGGTAAGCAAAATGTCTATCAATAATATCAGCCATTCAAGATGTAGATCGACGTGGAGGTGGCCTTTTCTTGCATCAATACATCAAACTTAAGATGAACAGGTCAGTTTTACTAGAGATATATGTTTAAGGATATAAGAGAAGAATTTCTTACCCATTCCCCTTCTCTCTCTCTCTCTCTTCTCTTTTATTTTACCTTGATCGTATTCTTCGTATCTTCCTCATCACAAAATCTATTTAATTATCTTTACTGGCGCACTCTTGTATTATTTATTTATTTTTTTCTAATTTCGAAATATGAGATTCATGAGGAAAAATATGATTGATGTCTTGATCAGCCCAGTGTGATCCAGACACATATGTATAAGGTTGTTTGAGGTGCCTTCAAGGTAAAAACATTGAGCTTCCGAAGTATCACTTATACGAAGATCGAGGTTAGAAGAGGTTTTTCAACTCGATCTCTCCGATGCTCAATTTAGTAAACCCAATCTCTGAGTGTGGATGCGAATGGTAAAAAAAGATTAGTCCTCTATCATCGTGTTAAAGATGTATTTTTATACATAGTTGTAAGGGGGTAGAATATTTCATGGAATATTTTACGGGGGTAGAATATTTCGTGGAACATTCTTTGGACTCTTGCCCACGTGAATAGATAGATGGAAGGTGACCTAGACTCCATATAACGGTTACATATTAGATGATGATTAGTTGATAGTGTATTCTATATCATTTATCTCATTCGAAGGCATGCTTCGAGACTCTTACGAGAGGGGCTTTAAGTATGGTGTTTAGTTCATCTGACACAAAAGTGTTCAGGATCTCGTCTCATAAGTCAGGTTTTCCTAATTCATATGTCTCAAGCACATTTTGCCCTATACTTCCACCATAACAGATTTCTTCTCATGCGGGTTAGGTTTTTTTGACACGCGTTATGGGTACATTTTGCTCTACACTTCCATCGTAGTGGATTTTTTGTATAGGTCGGGTTTTCCTAACTCATGTGCCTTAGGTACATTTTGCTTTGTGCTTCCATCGTTGTGGATCTTCTTAAACAAGTCAAGTTTTTTCAATTCACATGCCTCGAGCATATTTTGCTTTATGCCTCCACTATGGCAAATCTTCTTATATGCTAGTTGGGTTTTCACGACTCGCGTGCCTCGAGCATATTTTTCCCTATGCTTCCATTATGGTAGATTGCTTTACATAGGATAGATTTTCTTAACTCACGTGCGTCAAGCACATTTTGCCCTGTGCCTCCTTCGTGGTGGATTGCTTTATGCGGATCGGGTTTCATGGCTCACGTGCCCCAAACACATTTTGCTTTGCGCCTTCACCATGGTAGATCAGCTTATGCGACTCAGGGTTTTTTTCGATTCATGTGCTTTGGGTACATTTTACTTTATGCTCCACTATAACGGATCTCTATACATGGGTTAGGTTTTTCTAACTTACGCACCTTGGACACATTTTATTTTATATCTTTGTCATAATGAATTGCTTTATACGGGTCGGGTTTTCCCAACTCATGCATCTCGAGCACATTTTATCTTATGCCTTCATAGTGGCAGATCTCCTTACACAGGTTGGGTTTTCACAACTTATGTGCCTAAGGCATATTTTGCTTTGTGCCTTCGAAATAAAGTTTTGATTTAAAAAAAAATTGATCGAAAAATATGTATAAAAAATGCATTTAACTTAGAACGTAAGGGTAGTGAGCAACTAAATCAGTTAGTAATAGCAAGGGAAAGCATACTAGATTTATCGTGATTCGATCGTCTTGACCTACGTCCACTCTTGATTCCTTTTCCATATATATATATATTGTGATATCTATGGATTTGTGCAATTAGAATCAGATCGTGATGAGATCACGATAATAAGATTGATTCGCTTTTAAACATAGACCATAAATAATTCCGATCATAAGTTACTCAAGAGGGACATTAAGATTGTTGGAAAATCTAGGGTGACATCATATATGTTAGGACTGTTTCAACATTATAGGGTGGGGGGGGAGGGTGAATTAGTGTTTTCATAAAAATTATGACGATTCGAAAACTTTGTTCGATAAAGCCCATATAGAAAAGATGTTAACTTGAAGACACGTTCGTAAGCGTAGTGAGAATAAGAAATTAGTTTGCAATGTAAATGAAAAGCATAAAGTAAATGCAAACCGGATTTATAGTAGTTCGGTCGTCCTAACCTATGTTCACTCTTGATTCCTCTCACTCGAGGCCACCGACTTTCACTACTGATCTTCTTTCAATGCATGAAGATCAAGTATCCTTACAACTTTTTCTTCTTTTCACAAGTTTAGGAGATAACATTTACACCTCTCTTTTAGACCTCACTCCTCCCTTGGAAAACTTGTAACTCTAGGAGGAAGAAACTCTAAACTTTAAAAGAGATTATAACTTTTTTCTCAAGGATTCTTTCTCCCTTACTACTCAATTTCTTACTTAAACTGAGTAGGAATGAGTGGGGTATTTATAGGCCCCAAATGGATTCAAATTTGGAGCCAAAACGATCTTATCCCGAGTTTTCAAGATACTAACAGTACTATTGCCTATCAGACTGACAACTGGCGGTACCACCACTTGTTAGTCTAACATTAAAACTGGGTTGTACCACCGCCTGAAAGCCTTGGAGACTGGACTCTAGTGGTACCACTACTTGGGAGGCTGAGCCTTAGGTGGTTCCACTGACAACCCTAGCGGTGCCACCACCTGACCTGGTTCCAGGTCACTAAATGGGCCAACTATGGGTCATTGAATGAGCCTTCCACTTAGCCCAAAACAGCCCCAACTCAGGCCCAATGGGCCTCTAATTGAGTTAGTAAGGTTCCTTCCAAAACTGACTCAATTAGACCTAAACTAACTCGATCTAAACATAATCGATTACAAGCGTGAATCTTATATTGTCCGACGTGTCATTGGTTCATTCGACGCTTCATCCAATCCTTCAGTGCTTCATCCAATCCTTTGGTGTATTGTCTAATCAGTATGTTGATTTCCATAACTTCCGATCTCCTTGGTGCAATGTCCGATCCTTCGGCTCGATGCCCGAACACATGACACGAAGTCCTTCCGGCACATCAACCATTCCTTTGGCCCGACATTCAATCTTCCAACATATTCTACTTTGGCCCAACGTCTGATTCTTCTTGT